AGAGACACAAGGGAGGAGAGGGGTGCTCAGAAGCCCAGGAGAGACACAAGGGAGGATAGGGGTGATCCCCTCAGATGTGTCCAGAGTTAAATTAATTTCTCTTTTTATTTGATTAATTAGTACAAAATCTATCCAGTAGCTCTGACCTGATATCTTTGGACATGTTTATAAAGCCAAATATTCACTCAGAAACTGCTTCATCCTACAAACATCCCACAAAGCAGCAGGTATCACAGTGTAAAGCTCTTATGCCTGGGGGACAAATACATCATCTGAACTGCTCCAATAAAAATATCAGGCTCCATTACAGTGGAAAGTTATGTCACTCTGGATAAAAGCACAGGGATAATGTCACTTTTTATTTGTAGTATCTGTCTCTGTTGGGGGGGAGGGGCTTACCAGAGAGATGTTTCTCCATACTCTGCAGTTCCTTTGCAAAGAGCGAGTCCTTTAATTGGAGTCCTTTCTGAGTCAGCGAGCTCCTGCCTTTGACAGACTTCAGATCCGAGTCCCAGACTGGCAGACGCTGGTTCAGATGGGAAGAAAAATGAGTTACGTTTGAAGAAAAGACCCCGTAAATTGCACATTTATTTTTTCTGACTCTCCCTCCGAGCTGTATCTGTTATAATGAGAAGCAACCGGCAGCCTAACGAGCATTAGAAAAACATTAGTGAGCCGCAGTAAGTTACGATGAAAGAGCATCCGGTAATCAGAGGATTAACTTTGTTCGTGAACATCAGTGCGTCACAGACGGCGGTGGGTAAAGAAATTTTAGAATAACTATCAATAAATTTGTGGCTGTGAGGAACATAACCGTGGCAGGATTGGGATGTGACAGCAAGCCCGCTTCAAACGTACATCACGCATGATAAATTCACCGGCTTGGATTCAGTTTAAAATAATGCGCAATAGGACACAACAAAGGCTATTTTAATATGGAACAAGAGTTATTTTATAAGGACCTAGAGTCTGCCAGAAATAACACAAGCTAATATTTGATGACATAAACTAAATGTGCCTCCAAAGGTCAAGTTAAAATTGCGTGCTGTTGCTTTGCACGCAGTTAACTGGAGGCATGCTGAAGCATCAGGCCTGAGTCTGAAAGCAACGCCCCCTACTGGAAGCAGGTGAAATCAGGCCTGAGTCTGAAAGCAACGCCCCCTACTGGAAGCAGGTGAAATCAGGCCCTCGGATTTCAGGGCACCCTCACGTAGCGAGACGGGGAGGACGCCCTGACGTAGCGAGCCGGGGAGGACGCCCTGACGTAGCGAGCCGGGGAGGACGCCCTGCCGTAGCGAGCCGGGGAGGACGCCCTGACGTAGCGAGCCGGGGAGGACGCCCTGCCGTAGCGAGCCGGGGAGGACGCCCTGACGTAGCGAGTCGGGGAGGACTTCCTGCCGTAGCGAGTCGGGGAGGACGCCCTGACGTAGCGAGTCGGGGAGGACTTCCTGCCGTAGCGAGTCGGGGAGGACGCCCTGACGTAGCGAGTCGGGGAGGACGCCCTGCCGTAGCGAGCCGGGGAGGACGCCCTGACGTAGCGAGCCGGGGAGGACGCCCTGACGTAGCGAGACGGGGAGGACGCCCTGCCGTAGCGAGACGGGAAGGACGCCCTGACGTAGCGAGCCGGGGAGGACACTCATGTAGCTTCAGTTCACAGAAAAGGCTTTGTCTTCGATCAACTTCAGCAATAACATCGGTCTGTAAAAAATGGCTCTAATATGAAATGGACTGAAAACATCTGGATCATGTATCATTGTGATCAACAAAGCAATGCTCCTGGCCTAAGGGGACATGGTATGAATTCAAGGGCAGCTATTCTGGAGTTAATATTCCTGATCATTTACTCTGACAACCATGTTGCGGTGGTCTGGCCACAGCCATCCAGTAATTACAACCCTCAGTGGGTGAAACAGTGCATGTTATGGCTGCTGGCATGCCCCACCCACTGACTGTTGCATTGTGGGTAGGTAATATGCTTTGCAGTTTTCAGAGATGCCTGGGAGATGGAGTGTTAAACACCATAGCTGCATGCATTCTGCCATTCATTCTGGCTCACCGAGAAAATTCTATTTATATTCCTAATAATGTTATTTACAAGAGAGGCCTGACTTAATTAAAGCTTTCACAGGCACATTCGCATGAAGCCCCACAGTGTTGCAGGAAAGCCACTAAGAGCTGACGCTGGTGATCTGGGGCCTCATTTACTTTCCACACAAAATCTGGGATCTATCAAACAAAACTTGACAGGAAACATGCATATATTTACGGAAAGGCAGGGGCAGACATACACATTATTTTGGACAAACCAGGAAAAGACGACGCCCATTGTAAAGCAGGGAGCTCTGACCGCTTGCGTGCCAACAATTCATATCACCAGGTTGTACTTTGATGTGACAAACAGTAAATCTAAAACTGTGAAGGGGGATTTATTGATTTTCCACTTATCTGCGTAAGTCATAGGCTATACATTTGCCTTGGAGAATTTAATTACCTACTTCTAGGTCTACATCTTATCACCTTTTCCCATGATTTCAAAACATCTGTAATTGTTACTAACTGGAATAAGTGTGAATTGGGCAAGACATTCGCATGTATGGACCTACATATATAACCAGCCTACAGTCATGAGAATGAGATTCAGCATTACGGTGTTCTGGCTAGTGAATATGTAAATGGAATGATTAGATCGGAATGAGATTTCAGGAAGCACCAGGGTTATTTCTCCTTTTGTTACTTGTTTACTGTTCGCATGTGTAATGTTTCTGCATTTGGTCTGTTGTGCATTAAATGCATGTGTCTGCGTACTTTAAGAATGTCCCCCTGGGATCAATAAAGAGCCATTCTTTTATGATTATGTGCTGACGTGGGTCTAGCATTAGAGACCCTCCCCTTGAACCTGTGTGATGCCTGTACAAACTTTGGTTCGGACTAGAGTGGGCATCAGGGAGCGATCGCGGATATCCCACCAAACCTAGAGCTCCTTCTTGCCTTCCGTGATGGATGGCATAACAAATCTGGTAAGGCGCTACATCATGTTTCCCTATGTTACGAGCAGGCAAACGTAAAAACTAAATTTACAGCAATGCCCAGTTTCCTTGATGTAATGGGGGAATCGACAAGACTCACACTGTGATCAGGGCACATAGTGCAGACAAGCTACTTTCGTCGAGTGATACAGGTTAGGAGCTACAGCTGCTGTTCACATCAAACACCAGAATGGAAATATCTGAATGATCTTGATGATTTTGACCGTGGCATGTTGGTGCCAGACAGGCTGGTTTGTGTATTCATGTATCTGCTGATCTCCTGGGATTTTCTCACGACAGGCTCCAGAGTTTACCCAATGAAAAATGAAAAACATCCAGTGAGCGAAAGTTCTGCGGATGGAAATGCCCTGTTGATGGGGAGAGGTCAGAGGAGAATGGCTGGACTGCTTTGGAATCTCAATTTCTGCTGAAGGGCACATAGTAGGGGCAGATATTGGCGTCAACAGCATGAATCCATGGACCAAACTGCCTTGTGTCAACAGTCCAGGCTGATGATAGTAATGCGATTGCTTTCTTGACACACTTAGGGCCCAATTATTTATCGCTTGCGCACCACAGTCTGACCATGCAGATCCCCAATTTACCCACCTTTTAACAGCGAGATCTGGTATGATTATGCACCATGTCACAAAGCAAAGGTAGTCTCCAACTGGTTTCACGAGCATGACAATCAGTTCAGAGTCCTCCCCAGGTCTTCCCAGGCACCGGATCTGAATCCCATAGAACACCTTTGGGACGTGGTTGACTGGGAGATTGGCAGTATTGGCAGCTGACAAATCTGCAGAAATGACCTAATGCAGCCATGTCAGCATGGACCAGAATGTCATAGGAATGATGCCTGACGTCTTGTGGAATTTATGCCATGAAGAATTGAGGCTTTGATAGCAAAGTATTAGTATGCTGTTCCTAAAAAGGTGTGTGTAGCAGTTTAATGATCTGGGTCAGATTCGTCCATTTTGAGTTTCACACAGCACATCAGTATCTCTCAACTGCTCTGTTACAACACTGTGTAATAGAGAATGGCCTAGTATACATGCCACGTGCATGTCAAAGACTGAGGGCGAAGATGTGGTTTTGGCCCCAATAGCTGCAGTCACACTGTCCCTGTGCGCAGCAAAGCCGTTTCTTTCCTCCTATCTTCTGGTCCGACCTTTTTGTTAGGGGTGTTCTGTAGAGCTGGACATATTTGCTCCAGAAGCAATGCATTACCGTTCAACACACTTTTTAAGATTCAACTTTATTACCACTGCACAAAGTTCAAGTACTTTGACAACGAAATGCAGTTGGACACCTAATCTGAAAGCACAAAATAGTGCAAAAGTGCTAGAATCTGCTATGCAATATATATGAATGATAAATAGTTCATGTACATCTATACATTTTCTTGTTTGTGGTAAATATGCATAGGCCCCCAAATATAACATTCTGTCATGCCTCTACCTCACACTGTTCAAAATCCCCCTTTTTGGCTCTTTATTTACAGTCCAAGTTGCACCTGGATCACTCGCTCTGCAGAGGCGGTCCCATTTTGACAATCAGCAGTGTCGTTCCTCCAGAGAATCTTTTCTAAATCTTATATTTCGTGTTTACATTTTCCTGGTAACAGAAGAAAATCCAAATTTAAAACATGGCTCTGGGCTTCCTGGTGAGAGTGGACTCTTGGTCACGCAGGGTGGCCGTTAATGACGGAGGTCTTATGAGGTGAGCCATTGGGCTGAGCCTGTCGATCCCGAAGCCATCGAGAACACCAGCTTGGCCCTTCATGTGGTTTCAAACGAGGGGATGTATATTAGAAACAGAGTCTGTGTGTATCTAGTGGTTGTATAACGTGATCATTTTAGTGCCTGTTAAAAATGTTTGGCTCCTCATATGTCACAGTAACAAAAAAGTGGTGGGTCGGCTAAAGCACGCCTCACATCGCAGAGCGTTTACTCACAACAGGAACGTCTGCAGTTGGTTTGTTTTACGACCAGGCACACAGATCCTAGCACAAAACAAAATGATCCATCCGTCCATTAACTGCTCATCCACTACAGGGTTACAGTGAGCCCAGGAAGCAGCAGGACAGGGAGGACATGAGGCCGGTCCATTGTAGCGGAGTCACACACACACACACACACACACACACACACACACACGCACATGTAGGGTAAACATATCCTTATGGGGACCGCTCATTCATTTCAATGGGAAAAATGCTAACGCTAACTATGACAACCTTAACCCTAACTATAACCATAAGTAACCAAACAAAATACAAGAGTTTTTGCATTTTTAGTTTTTTCATAGCAGTCACCGATTTTTATAAAATAGAGTTTTCCCTTATGGGGACCAGGAAACCGGTCCCCATAAGGGAAAAAAAACTGATATTTATCATGTTATGGGGACATTATGTCCCCAAAAGGATAGGTAAATCCGCTCACACACACGCACACACACACACATACACACACGTATACACACACAAGAACACACACAC